AACATATGTGAATCAACACAAGTATACTCTTGACTTGCTTGCTAACATGGATGATTGGTGCTAAACCTGCAAGTACTCCATTGCCGAAAACACAGAAGTTAACATAGCAGCAGGATACTCCATTTCCAGAACCTGATAAATTTCGCAGATTGATTGGGAGATTATTGTATTTGGGTTTCACATGACCGGATATCACTTATGCAACACAACAGCTTAGTCAATTTGTACAGAACCCGTGTGATTCTCACTGGAAAGCTGCATTACATATACTCAAATATTTGAAAGGTTCTCCTTCCAAGGGTCTTTTTTTCCCCGCTGATAATACACTTAAGTTTGAAGGCTATTGTGATGCTGATTGGGCATCTTGTGCTGATACTCGCCGGTCCTTAATAGGATATTGTATCTTCTTAGGTCCTTCCTTGATATCTTGGAAGACTAAGAAGCAAGCCACGGTGTCCCGTTCCTCTGCCGAGGCTGAATATCGCAGCTTAGCATCTACCGTTTGTGAACTTCAATGGATCCATTACATCCTCCGTGATCTTTGTATACCTGTTCAGCTGCCTATTAGATTGTGGTGTGACAATCAGGCTACCTTGCATATTGTTGCGAACCCTGTTTTACATGAACGAACGAAGCATTTGGAGATTGATTGCCACCTCGTCTGTGAGCAGTATAAGGATGGTTTTGTGCTTCCTTCGTATATTCCATCCAAGTTGCAACTTACTGACTTTTTTACGAAGTGTTTAGCAACTCTACAGTTTTCTCTTTCACTGTCCAAGTTGGGGCTTTTTGATCCTCATCAGCCTCCAACTTGAGGGGGGGATGAAGAATATTATGTACAGTTATAATAGTCAGTTAGTTGTTGTTTCAGTTTGTGCAGTGCCAGTCAGATATTAGAGGTAGTTACGGTGGTTAGTCCTAGTCAGCACTTTCTTGTTAGTTAGTTGGTTATCCTGCATCTATTTATAACTGTACTGTGGAGCTAATTAATCAACACACACAGATGCAGTTTCATTTCTTTTTTGGTGCTCCTCTACATCCGTGTTTGCTTTGATCTTGTTCTTGAATATTTTCTTCTGTTTCTGATCACTCTATGAAGAGCAACCGAGAAGAAAGATTTTCAGAATTGAAGTTAGATTGCCTCTCATTGGACTTGAACGCAAGGTGCAAGGGACATCCTCTCTTTGACTTGGTGTTTTGCTGCTATAAATGTCCATTCGAAGAATAAAATAGGGATGGATTGGTTCAAATCCGGTTCAAAGTTACAAACGACAGAAAGACCGCCACCCAATGTGCATTCGTAAATGTTTTGGTATCTTAATATTCTCTGTACCGGCGGTTCTAAACTGCCACCTTAGACCGTAACACTTGGGGATATTTCAAAATAATAACTAAAGGCATGTCAATTAATTAAGTATAAGGGTAAAATAGGCAAAAAGAAACCAAATGGACCCTTATGCTTTTGGTAACTCCCCATGAGTTTCGCGGGTTTGTGATCAAAGAGGTGTTATGCAATAGCTTCAACGGCTAAGCATACAAAGCAAACTCCAACAGCTTGCGTTTTCAGGTTTTTTCTTTTCTGTTTGGTTGGGGGGAGATCTACCTACTGAAAAATTGTGCCCCAAAAAGATACAAGAAGCTCAATTCAAGCTTATTTTGGGAAGCTAGAAATGGAGCTTCCCGTCTTAATGGAGAAAAACACATGGAAAGATGGGCCTCCAACCAAACAGTTTATGGACTGCCAAGATCTTTATGTAAAATCCCACTATATCTTTTGACTGTCAGATTTTCATCTCATCTTAATGTAGAAAAATGCACGAAAAGATGCACTTCCAACCAAATAGTCTATGGACTGCCAAGATCTTTATGTAAAAACCCACTACATCTTTTGACTGAGGATTGGACACAAGGCCATTGGGCCAACCTCTGAAACTCAAGAAACTAGGGTGTAGACAACTTTTGTGGGCTTGGGGTAGTGATTGTTGAGCTGGAAAAAATTTCGAATGTTGATCACTATAAATACTAGTTCTTTCATTGCAAATAAGGTATAAAAGAAATTCATCTGTTACTATGTTCAACTAAGCGAATCGGGAAGTAAAGTTTTCTTTAATTGATATATGTGGTGTCTTTTGGGTGATCTCAACTGCATCACCATCAGGCAAATACGTCTTAATATCAGAATCTCAATTTTAATCATGATTCTCGAATCGTCGTTGACTCGAACGGTTGGACCATTCGGCCTGTGAATCATCCAGACAACCAGTTCAGTTTTACTCTAAACCCAATATCTGACAAAAAATCGTTAAAAAATTCAATGACCTATTGACCCGAGCGGTCAAACCATCGATTCATCGACCCATTAAACGGGTTTTGACCATTTTTTTATATTATAATTTTTTGTTAGAATGGGTTGTCTATTCAAACTGGACAGTCAGACCGTCGACTCGAAAACCAATGGCCAAAATGGTTCCATTTCCGGGTCTTTTTTTAAAACCATAATTTTAATTATGAACTCCAATAGGCTGTGGAACCAATAATAACATTTTACACATACACCAGCCATACAGAAAAGTACAAACAGGCCCATTGCAGATTTCTGAATTCTAATACAGACCTATAAACATTTAAAATGCCAAATACCCCACTCTATATACCAATGCCCCACCCATGAATTGGCATCAATTTCGAACTGACACCTACCCCCAACTGTACTTGGGGCATAAGAATTCTGACTCTGAGCTGAACCGTCATTCTCCCTAAAATATATGAAATATATGAGACTCACAATCATTAACTGTAAGTCCCACTGGTGTGGAGTGATATCATTGGTTCCACGGTCCGTTACACTGCTAATCCGAATTCACCCACTCTCGGAGCTAAAAGTCAGAAATGAACTCGAGAAAATGGGTAGATCGAGAGGAAACATACTGGAATCAGAGGGCACGGGTCACTTGAAATCCTGAAGGTGTAAATAGTCTCTTCTCTTAGATATCCCGAGGGAATTGAAAAACCTGACATTTACCCTTAACTCAGTATGTCTAGATTTCCTTCTGTCCCATTTCGGAAAATAATACTTAGTTTGACGATTAACAAACAACATTCTAGACATGGAAACGGAAGCATAGGCATTAGGCCACACATGGTAGCTTCAAGCTTGACAACATTGTGGGAAATGATTGGACCATCTTCTCTCATTTGAGATTAAATGGCACCAAAAACTTTTCCATTTTAAGTTAGCCACAATGTGAAAGCCTAGGGTCCATAATAGCAGATCAGCAGTATTGGATCAAAATTAATTGCGTGAGGATTATGGTGAGATTTCCTGTAACCAAAAACCCTGCATGAGAATCCAGTCAATTACACATTGAAAACATTTCCTCATGAATTAGATATGTTATGGGTCGAGTAGTCTGACAGGCCGGCTCAGTCTGATCCATTATAAGTTGGGTTTAGATATGAAATTAGACTCAACGGTTCAGGTTTTCTCAAAAGAGCTCGGTCCAATCCCATGCCTGAATTGATAATAGAAAAAAATACATTTTATATAGTAAAAATATACATATAATATTTTTTTTTTCTTTGTTCCTCTTCTCATTTTTCTAGTCATAACGAGATATTTTATTTATTTTTGGGTTTTGAGGTCCTTTAATATAAATAAATTAGTATTTTATCGAGTACAAAAAAGAAAAAGAAATATTTTTTTTCAATTTATTTGCAGACTTCAGGCTCAGGCCCGGGTTTCGGACTTCATATGAGGGTTGGGCACAGACTGAATACCTAGCCTGATAGTTGGGGCAGGCTTGGGCTCAGGCCTGACCGTATTATGTTAAAGTGTTAATATAGAGACCAAGCCCAGCCTATGAACAGGTTCACCCATGAATGTAACATAACTGAAGAGGAGTCTAATGTGATTGGTAGTATGAACGAGTTGAACAGAACCTTTCACCCATTCTAAATTCTAATCTCTTTCTTTTTGTTTTTTTTTTTCCTCCTCACCTACATAGTTTTTTCTCACCATTCTAGACAAGCAATGACAGCAAGCTGTTTTATTTTCTCTCTTGCTAGTCGGATGTTATTGTCGACGAACTCATGTCATAGAAAAGGAGACGTAGGAAAGCTCAACTCCACCCATGACCCAACATCACTTATTTGATAACAGTCTTAGATTCAAAACCTTGAATTGTTTGATCGTTTAAATGGAGCTCGCATAACTAACTATCAGGTTCTGACTTCTGAGAAAGCAAACACAAGTACAAACCAAACAGTTATTGAGACAGTCAGGCCCTGCCTAACAACTCAATGAATTGCATTTATTGTTGGCATTCCTACCAACCCAGCTTGAAGGAAACTTGTAAATGCAAGAGATAAAATGCACACTCCCTCTCAATCCAACTGCTTGGGAAGTTGGGATATGGTTGAGTTACACAATTGGGGCCATCTACAACTCCTTCCAATTATCATCACCCTCTATCCAACTTAATTCAATGTGCTGTGCAAAATTTTCATCCATAATGCCACCACCCTTGTTTACGGTGTAAAGACCGGATCGGTGTAAACTTGCACTCGGGTTCAGTTTTTTCGAGGCAACACTTTCTCCTCTTGTTCCCACCTCTCTGCTTCTGACCGGAGGCAATACAACGGCCATAGTGTTGGCCTTCTATGCGGTCGGCGACCAAAATTAATCCAACCCAACATTTCAATCTAGATCTAAGCAAAGGAACTTAGAACCACATCTAAGAAAACGGAATTTCACTGATCTCAGATCAGATCTGGTGAGAACTGAGAACTTGTCAAGGTAATGCAGGTAAAACCGGATTTACAACCTCGGATCTGAAAATAACAAATGTAAACGTGGCCCACAACCGGATCTACAACCACCATTTACAAAACTCCGGCAAGATTCACAACTTCCAAGGCTGCGTTTATTTGGAATGTAAACCTCATCTAAAACTCCATTGAGCTTCACACGGAAGCTTACGAAAAAAGTGAACATTGAAAAATGTGACTAATCAATGTAAAACTTTACTACAAATGACATTTTACATGGATTTACAATATAAACCAAGCCTCCATCCAATCACTGACAAAACCGAACCAATGGTGACGTTTTATACCAATAACGTTCTACACCACAAAGGAACAAACACACAGCCTAAATGCGCACGAATTTTCCCTCGCAAAGTCCTACCATCGTCACTCAACTCCAGCAAGTGCATTTTTACACCGCGACACAAACACAGCCTAAGGCTGTCGATTAGCAATTGCATCTAAATTCCAAACTCAACAAAACCACATCTAGCAGACCAGAACCTTGAGCTATAACCTCACCCTCTCGTCTAACAAATTGGAATGTCAGGATCCACATTATTCAAAAGAAGCCAAAAACGAGCAACTACATATTATCACTCGTTTGTGAGCACCAAATCCGATTTCATCCCCACAGCACGAAGCAATTACATCTCGACTCTGGAGTCAACACTATATGGTTTTTCTAGTTGCACTCCACAACAGAACGTACTTTCGTATGGAACGAGTCCCTATTGTTTGATTACCCCAACAAGGACGAGACTTGTGGTCGGTGGTTCAAGTCCTTAAAAGGAAGATGCAGAACCGAAACGTGGAGCCACACAGGTTCCCCAACACATTGTTTAATCACCCCAAGAAAAACACAGAAAAATTTTTAAATGGTTGGTGAGAACTTAAAGTAAGAGGATACACTACGCATCAGATTCATCACATGTCCATCATCAAGGGCTAAAAATTAGGAATCTCAGGATAATCGTTTTTAGTTCGTCGCTTCTTTCAGATCCACAGAACTAAAACTCAGATACAAGGCTAGCAGCTTATCATCACAAAACACACTATGTTCCAGGATATTGGTACACGCAGATACAAGAGCTTTCTCAGCTAGCTACAGGAAATTGCGACTCGCGAGTCAGTCGTCTTTAACAAGTGAAATTGGGCAATGGTGGTACAACAGCTTTTGGCTCAAGTTCTCGACTGCCTCGTCTGATCGGCCCCCTCTTAGTGCGTAGTATTGAGAAGGTGGGGTCTTTAATTGTCGGAATGTAAAGACTATGCAGCAAGTCTTTAAATGGACTGCACAAAATTCCAAATACAAGGCTAGCAGCTTATCATCACAAAACACACTATGCTCCAGGATATTGGTACACGCAGATACAGGAGCTTTCTCAGCTAGCTACAGGAAATTGCGACTCGCGAGTCCGTCGTCTTTTAACAAGTGAAATTGGGCAATGGTGGTACAACAGCTTTTGGCTCAAGCTCTCAACTGCCTCGTCTGATCGGCCCCCTCTTTGTGCGTAGTATTGAGAAGGTGGGGTCTTTAATTGTCGGAATGTACAGATTATGCAGCAAGTCTTTTAATGGACTGCACAAAATTCCAAATCCTTCCAGGCCATAACCGGGCAGTTTAACAACTCAAGCCTGTTAAACTCGGTCAATTCAGACCAGACCCATTTGCGACTCACCGTTTCAACAGACCCAGAAAAGCAGTACAATTGCAGACCTAAAGAAGTAATAATGGAGAAGTATTACACAACGCCCGTGGCTAAAAGCAGCGTAGAAGTTCTACAATCTTAAGAAGACCGGATTTTTTTAAACAATGAATTCTTTTCACCTTTGTAATGTTTCGATGGCAGGTTCAGAAACAGAAAACACCAAATATGGAATCCAAACACCACCAAACCCAGAAGAGGTTTCCAGAGAATCGGAACAATCAAGGATAAAAGTAGATCATCGGGTTTGACTAGTTGCACCACAAATCTTTCGACGATCGAGGTTGTAACATAGTTTACAATGACTAGCGCAAGGCCACGAACATCCAAAAGCAAAATGGAAGAAAATCAGAGAAACATAACGCAGTCTATCATGAATCATATCTACACTTTTTCCAACCTTGAATATTTTTCTCATCTACAAGAATAAATTGAACAGTTAATTGCCTAAACTTCCCCAAGATTTTGGTACATTATTTTGATTGCGATTTTGTGCAAGATCTTTCAGGATTGCACCTCAACTTTCACAAGAAGAAAACCGGACAGTCCCCGTTACCTGGATTCAAAGCATAGATACTTGAAAAGTTTCTTTTCGACCAGTTGGCGTTTGCTTCATGTTATACAAGTTCTTGATACATCCTGCAAGTCAAGACTTTCTCGAAAGATCGATTAATGAGGCTAAATTCCATGAAAAGAAGATCAGAATTACAGGAAAATATGACGGACAAAAAAGAAAAACAAAACATTATGAGATTAAAATCCTACTGTGATGAAAGAATTTGTTTTCGCTAGAACTGCGTATAGATAAAAGGCAGGAAAAAAGTTAACAATCAAATAGATAAACAGAAGAGGTATCAGAGATGATGATGTAGAGCTCCCTTCAATCCAAACAAGGTTCTCATCTGGATAATGCAGCTCCTGAAATATGCAAACCACAAACCTATCCAAATCCCTCCAAGCATGATATAGGGCTGTGGAATCCATAATTCAGCAGCTCTATCTAACCAGAAAGAACCAATATTGGACTTGAAGGAGCTCCACCCCATAACCCCAAAATGCCAAATCTAAGTTCTTCCACCCCCTCAAGACCCTACACAACCACAGTCCTCCACACCCCTCCGCCAGAACCCAAAAGGGGTAACCGAGGTCACAAACACCCTCCAGAGCTCAGTCACCAGACTCACCACCAACCACAGAACAGTATACACAACCGGAGAAACCCTAGACCAACCATGGAAGCATCGAAGGGTAGAGGGGTGATCTTTTTTATAAGGAGAAGCTGACCGAGTGAGGAATTAATGGTGGGGGGTCGGCAGACCGGTTTTTCCATCTCGATAAAAAGTCTCGGGAAGCGGCTCGTAAGATTCCCTGAAAGCCTGAACCCCATCACATGTCCTGGCCGCGAGATTTCGTTTAATTTCCTGTCTATTTTATCTTATCGTGATATTTTGATCCGGTACACCTCTCCCCGCCATTATATAATAGCTAAATCTGTAGGGCCACGCTGAGCGTGATCTAGGTCAAGCTAGTTATGTCGAAGATACAGAACGATGAGGGAGAGGGATATGCGTGTATATACGAAGCGAAAAAATTGAAAAAGGAGGAGACGTACACGTGGCGGTGAAGAGCGTGAAAATCGGGAAATGAATGAATAAGAGGTTTGAATAGACAAAAGAGACGTTGATGTGACAAGACATGACGGATTGGGGCCAGAGCCTCTTCAGACAATTGAGAGCACGGAAACCCTATATCCCGGGTGGGCCGGTAGCGTGCGCCATTGAGTGAGTGGGCTGCTGCTTCAGTCAAGATACCCAAATCCAATAATAGATCTTGTGGTACGGCCCATATCTCGCCCATCTGCTCTTCGTCTTTTAGGGCAAATCCTCGCCACGAGTTTCAAATCACCCAAAGCCAACGGTTAAAAAAGTCCACGATAAAAGGAAATGCACATAAAATTAAAAAAAAACCTTCTGCGCTAAACTGCAATCCATGACGGATGTCTAACTATTATATGCCTCCCTATCTTTGCTATATGAAATCAGAATATATATTTTTATTAGAATGTATAGAGCTAAATCAGTTAATAATTATTAATGAATTAAGCCGTTCAATCAAGCAGAGTAAACTAAGAAAAGATGATTAAGGATTTATGACCATAAGAATTTGGCAAAAGCTTTAAATGTCGAGTTATATTGTTCAATAGTTCTCTTCTTTATTTGGGATTGGGACGAGGACAATGTAAGACAAGTTAATAATATTGGTGGAATTAAAATAATATAATAAAAACATCTTTCAAATTTTAATTCTTTTTAAAATTTTAAATTCTGTCTTTTTATTTGCACCTGCAGGACATAAGCACTTTCATGAAGTTGGGTTTGGATTTCGACAAAATTTCAGTGGGCTTGTCCCGAAAACCTGCCCTAAAGACAGTTTAAAATGTTAACTGTGACCAATCCGACTTGCACCTCTTTGCCCTTCATTAATACCAAAAGAAAATTGTTGATCAAAACATTAACGAGCCTCTGAGTGATAAATGGTGAGTTATTGCGGGAAACTTTTATATGGATATATATACATTATTAAACTTAGGGAACAGCACTTTGATGGAAAGATACAAAAGTTTCAGAAAAATAGAAAGATATAAAAAATTAGAATGGTTGCCAGGTGGCAATTTGATTTGGGGTTTAAAAAAGCACCAATAATTTTTCTTCTAGTACTTAAATCTCAACAATATTTTGGACCTTTGGGAACGGTGCTGCTTACAATCTAGTTAAAGTTGATTTTTCTTCTACTTTTCGTTTGAAAGACTCCTTTCTTTGAACAATATGTGTTACGGTGAAGCACCACCTCATAAATCACTAAAACAAATAAAATTAGGGTAAATTTTTTAAATTATCTTTATTCTTTAGTTAATTAACTACCTACCTGTATCCTTACTGTTTGAAAATTGACCGAAACTATCCTATTATTTATAACAAGTGACTAACTATCCTTATTATTAATTTCCATTATTATTCCGTCAAAATTCGCATACACGTGAAATCACGTGACATTGAAATTCTTTTAAAATCCAATATTACCCCTCCCTTGTTCCCTTCCTCTGGCCGGCACAGGAACCGATCTAACTCCTTTCACATGACCTGTCCTTTCGCTTCCCATTCGCCATTGCCCACTTCGGTACTTTAATGACGAAGCCTTCCAACCTAAGATAAAGCCAGAAAAAGGAACCACGCAAGAAGCCATTAAAGTATCTTCTAAGCTTTCTATTTTCCGTACTTTAATGGCGACTTATTTGTTGCTATGACGATCACGGCAATCGTAAGGAGCTCAGATCTGTCCATTTCGTTCGAGGATTACTGGTCCTCGATTTTGCTCACGTCAACTCCACCTGGTTCCGTTGTTTATTTAGCATTTCTTTAATCGAGTGCATCTTTGTTCTTTGGATATGGTGGAATTCGTTTCGTCAGCTTCTCATTTGCAGCTTTCGCTGCCTTTATTTCTGGTTCTATAAACCCTTTAAAGACAAAACCCCACCTTACACCTTTCAATCCAATCCGAAATTAAAAATTAAAAAAAAAAGGAAAAAAATCCGCCAAACCAATCCATCAAGCTATTGAGCAATCAAGCAAGCTCTGTAAGTCCACTGTTTTTTATACTTCTTAGTCTCTTACTCTCTTCATACTTTCCACTTCTCGCTTCTCATTCGCTGGAATTTTGGATTTGCAGAGAAGGACTTGAAAATGGCGATTTTGGAAGCATCAATGACTGCAACGGTTGATAATTCTGAAGAGAATCAGGAGAACTCAGTGCCATTGATTCCTGGGTTACCGGACAAGATCGCCGAGCACTGTCTTTTACATCTCCCCTACCCTTATCAGACGTTGGTTCATTCTGTGTCTTCATCTTGGAACAGAGCCATAACAAACCCCAACTTTCTGCTTTCCAAGAAAACCCTCTTGCTCTCTTTCCTTTACATCTTCGTCTTCACCTTTCACAAACCGACGGGCAAGATCCAATGGCAAGCCTTGGACCCATGATCGGGTCGTTGGTTCGTCTTACTTCCCATGCCCTGCGTCAAACTTGTGTGCCTTCCTGGCTTCGCCTGCGCATCGCTGTCACGACAGGGTGCGCTTAACATGCTCGGCAGGATGCGCGCTTCAACACGGAGACGTCGTTGCAAACGTTGATGACCTATAGGCCAGTGCCTATGGCTAAAATGCGCGTGGGGTTGGCGAGGTACGCTAACGAGAGTTCTAAAGGTAAAATGGTCATTTTAACATTTTTCCGTTTATGTTTAACGATCCTGGTAATGTTTACACAATTGTCAGAAACAGTCAATTTTCAAACAATAAAGTGAAGAGAAGACATATGAGTGAGCCAATCCGCTGCCTGGTTCACCTCTCTGAACATGTGCGTGTATAATACACCTTCCTTCAATGCCTCTTTCAACTGCAAGCATCCCGAGATGATGTTCCTAAGATTCCAAGGGGGAGATATATTTGCCCTTTTAAACAACCAATAACGATCTTCAAGTCACCCTCAATCGTAAATGTCCGGTTAAAGTTGAGGACTAGATTGTGAGCTTCCCTCGCAGCCCAAGCCTCTGCATTAATAGAAGAAGTGCCAAGCATGTAACTTTTGAAATCCAATACTTTGCCCAAATGGTCTCTAACAATAGCCACAGCTGAACACATTCCCTCCTCACACAAGAAGCATCAAAATTGATTTTAAAGATTCCAATTTTTTCCTTACTATTTTATGTTCAGAATTATCATTAAGCTCCCGATATTCAAAGAAAGCCTTTCCCGCTCTCTCCAATATGGTTTGGGGGGCCTCCTCTTTATTTTCAAAAATTTTCCTATTTATATTCTTCCAAATCTACCAGAGAATGAATACACATTTTTCCTTCATAAAATTTTTCTCCATTATGCCCTTGTGAATAGAAGACCACCAATCAACCATCTGATTTATATTCCCATTAGAACTAACAAGATTAAGATCAACGCAAGCCCAAACCTGCTTAGAAATGGTGTAGTCTAAGAAAATATGATTGAAATCCTCACTAACCCCACACCAATCATAATCCCCATCTATATTAACACCTTTCTTACGAAGGTTGGCCTTTGAGAGGAGTTTGTTATTTAGCACAAGATACAAAAAAGCTTTTAACTTTGGGGGGCATCAAATACCTTCATTACTACTAATCAGTTCGTAAGCTTATTTTATGGTGAAAGAGCCTCTCGGAGTTGAACCCTATATTAACCTATCTTGTTCACCACCCATAGGAATGAAAATGGCTTTAATTTTGTTCCACAAGTTAAGAGGGACTGAACATTGAATTTTTTTCCTCAATCCAAACCCTTCTCTCTTTATCAATGTATTTCATCTTCGTTGATAGTCATGGAGTTGGGGAAATATCCCAAAAGGGGACCACCATCAACCCAATTACCTATCTAGAATTTAACCGAGTTATCATTGCCAAGCTCCCATCTAAGACCACTTCTTAGGAAATCTTTAGCACTTAAAACTCCTCGTCAGGCCCACGAGATCCCCTTCCTTTTCTTACTCTCTCATAGGCTTTCTTTCCTTCAATATTTACCTTTCACCACCTTTACCCATATGTTATCTTCTTCAAAGAGGATTTTCCACCCAAGTTTAGCCAAACTAGCTTCATTCATCCACTTGAGATTCTTCATCCCTAATCCACCACTACTTTTTTGAGTACATACTATTTTCCAATTAAAGTGATGTACAAGATATTTACCATTGTCTTTGTCCTAGAGAAAATTCCTTTGCATTCTATTAACTTCCTTAATAGTATTTTGAGGAATTTTTAATGACCTCATGATGAATAAAGGCATCATGGAAGTCATAGAATTCAATAAAGTTAATCTCCCAACCAACGATAATAATTTCTTTTTCCGGCCAGAAAGTCTTTTGCTAACTTTCTCATTTAAGTCCTTAAAAGTATATGATGAAGGAATATTTGGCCCGACCTTTTAACCACCCAACATGTGGCAGAAGTAACAACTCGGCACGGTAGTATGCTCAAGGCGCGAGCTCTCAGAGGAGGAACTAGTGGTCTGAGCTCCCCAATAGGAGCCCGAACTCCCCCTTTGACCCTAAGCCTCACGAGGAGTGCAAATGGTAACAACCCGAACTGGCCCACCCCAGGGCAAATCGGGCCACACCTCTATCTGAACTCAAGACTTCACCTCATACACCACTCCAGCATTTCGTCTCCAGGCTACCAAACTGAACGATTGTACCTGACACCCAAGGAGTCCGTATTCTGAAGCGGCGCACTTGACTGACTTAGGATCTGACGCTTGATCGTCGCACTTCAACGGCCACCTGCCACTGCCACCTCCAGTCACAGAGACGGCTTCGACAAAGAGAGCAGTGGCGGTTGCTTGCCCCAGCAGAGGTGATGACACCCGACCTGGCAGGAGCTTGGGAGTGAGTGCGCGAAGTGGTTATAAAAGGCTTTCTTCCCCCCAAGAAGGAGGTACGTGATAACTTTGCGCTATTTGGTTTTGATCTTGCCTTTGAGAAAATACCAACTTGATCTTTGGAGGAATCTCACCGGGTTCCTCCCTGGAGATTCCTTGCCTTTTTTTCCGTTTCAGGCACCTGTTGCTCCAGTCAGAGGCAAGGTCGTTGACAGATAGGACCGACCGGATTGTGCTACATCAATATACTTTGTGACTCTTGAGTTGATAACATGGGCTCCCAAGTAATTCTTAGATTCAGAAGCCATGGCATACTCCAACATAATTTTTCTAATTTTAGCCCTGCATTTATATTGGGTTCAGCAAAAATGATGCAATCATCTGCGAATTGCAGGATTGGGATTTTGGAGCATTCCTTGGTAGGTCTACACTCATTCGGGTTTCGGGGCTCATTAGCCTCTTTCTTAAGCTTTGGCTAAAGCTTCCACACAGAGGACAAAAAGGTACGGAGAGAATGTCACCCTGTCTAATACCTCTGGTAGGTTTAAATTCTCTAAAAGGTGTGCCATTAATAAGAATATGAATGTCTTGATACACTCCATCACCCAACCAATCCATTTATGATGGAATCCGAATTTCTTTAGGATTTTCTCAATAAAATCCCATTCCAACCTATCATAGGCTTTCTTCATGTCAACCTTACAAGCCATAATTCACTTCTTGGCTTTTTTCTTTTTCATGGAGTGGAACATTTCATGAGCAATTAAGATGTTATCATTGATTTGTCTATTAGGCATAAAAGCACTTTGTTAAGGGAAAATTAAATTATCAAGGAAGGGCTTTATCCTATTCACCAAAATTTTTTAGATGACCTTGTAAATCACATTACATAAACTAATAGGTTTGTAATTATTAACAGTCTCTGGATTCTCTACTTTCGGGATAAGAGTTATGAAAGTTTTATTCAGAATGGGACACAATTTCCCAGTGTGGAAGGACTTAATAGTCCCACAAAAGTCTTTCTTTATAATATTCTGAAACTTCTTAAAAATAGGGCATTAAGTCCATCCAGACCTGGAGCTTTAAGGTCCCCAATAGTTTGGAGGGCATCAAAGATTTCCCTATTTGAAACCTCTTTAATAATAAATTTATTCTGTTCCTCAGAAAGTTTCCTTGAAATCTCCTTAATGAAATCATTAACCCCTTGAGTACCCTCACCTTTAAATCTATTTTCAAACTCGTAACTAAAATAATTTGCAATTTGCAAGTGATTTTCAAATTTTTCTCCTTCTTGGTTAAAAACATAGGTGATTCTGTTTCTAGCTCTTCTAATAGTAGTTATCACCTAAAAGAATCTATTATTTTTGTCACCAAGATTGATCCAGCGAGTCCAGTAAACTTCTTCTTTCAAGAGAATATTTAATATTATTTATTTCAGGAGTAGACTTTTTATACCAATAAAAAATCTCAACCAATACATTTTTATTGGACATCATTGGTACCTTTTTCCTGATTATATATCAATGGGATTCATTGCTCAAATAGAAATGTATTGGGAGTGCTACATTTACTTAACAATTTGTAGTTGGTACACCAAAAATCCAAAATTAATGTGAACCTCTTGGAAAGAGGAAAATAGCAGATCTAGTGTGCATTGATATACACATCATTTATTATCACTTTCTAGTTGTATGCCACTGAAAGATGTGGAGGAAGAGAGATGAGTACATTGCAAGAATATGAAAATAAATGGAGGATAAAAAATAAATGAAGAAGAGAGTGGGAAATGGGGAAAATATACGAGTTAAATGTGGGAAGTAAGGATAAGGAAAATAGATGGGTTAAGTTTTCAAAATGGAACCAAGGAAAGTATCAATATTATATGGTATGAATTTGAAGAAAAATATAAAAAAAAAAATACATGTTTTCTTGTCTAAATTCTTATACCCAAAGATTGATTATGAACCGATGAACATAACATGCCATATATAACTTTAATTCTGAAAAAAAAAATTGCCCAATTATCCTTGCCAATGACAAATACACAATGGGTATATCAATCGCTCTGGATCCGATGCCTTTGGACTCGAGAGTCCATCCAATTTTTTACATGTTGACAATGATATAAGCAAAACCTTTATTCTTAGTTTGGAAAGAGTACAAATATAAATATGTACAGTGCAAATCCATTTGAACTCAAAACCAAGTATATGTTTGGCATCGCTGCTGCAGTTGTAGGATTGTTTTTTGAGAAAACTGTGTTGCTGATGTGTGGCTTGGAGTACCGTTTTCTGTTTGGTACCATTGCTCCAGTAAATGTTTTCTGTACTTCTATCCATTATCCACTGCCACATCATTGTCCTGTTGGTAGCAATAAGCTGCAACTCTAGGAAACGCCAAATTTAGCGTTGCTTCAAGCCACGCCTTCCTGATTTCCAATGTGTGGCTTGAAGCACTGTTTTCTATGGAAAAACGGTTCCAAATAAATGATTGTTTTTTGCATCAATATTTTTTACTATATAGCACTGATGTGGTGTCATTTTCTGGAGCAACAGCAACGGTTCCAAACAGACGCTAAATTGCAACCCGGCTAATAATTCCCTTTCTTTATATCTTTCCATTGAGGTGCTCTTCCTCCAACCATCACGATAGATAAATTTTCCATTAAGGAGATTTGGATCAACCATGTGAATTATTGAGGAATTTCAAGAATAGATTATCTGTTACACTATGAGGCTAATGTTTTGATCAAATATTACGAAAGCTGACTTCTGATATAAATATCTTTTTAGTACTAGTGGGTAAAAATAAAAGTAATATAAAGGTACGTGGAATAAAATTTAGGGAAATTTATGGTTTTTCCACCCTTTCCCCTTTGAACTTTGATGGATTTCCTCAACTGTTATAAATGTACAAATCAATAAAAATTCAGGAGGTGAGGAAGTCAATAAAATCCTATGAATTTAAAGACATTTAGATTTTGAAAGATTCTTTTATTATTTTTCTTTGTCTTAATTCATTGTTTTAAATTTAAAAATCAAAATATTTAAATAATTATTTACAAGCACTATCATTATAAAAATATTCTGATTAAATTTTTATAGCCCACCGATGAAGGCGTGTAATAAATGGTGGGTTAAAATGAAGCTTCTATTTATAGATTTTTTTGGTCAAAAACCCAAGACAAAACTTATCAGGATGGTGTAGAAATCATTTACCAAATTAGCTACATGATTTCTCTAAGGTCCTATTTGTTTTTCGGTATGTTACTTACTCGGGTAAATGCACTTATCTAGGTAAGTATTTCGTAGGTTTAGTGCATTTACCCATGTTCTTTTATTTCCCATGTACATAAGGCAATGACTATTTCAGCTATAAAAATCAATTATTAAAAGGGGCATTTTTGTCCCATTCAAGTGTTGACAACTTTTCCCTAGGTGGAAAAGTTATTTACCCATAGGTCTATCATTGGATCGAACTCGGATTGGATTCATCTAAATCTGAGTTCAATTCAACATGTTTTTGGCTGCATTCGACTTCGATCCGAAATCCAATCGGATTATGTGCGGGGAATCCGAGTTTGAATCCGATTGGATTTTTCGGATTTCATATTTTTATCCGACTTTGACTAAAGTTACCTATTTTAGCAGTTGAATGGTCACAATTGCCGAATGTAATATTATTAAAACAAAATCTATAATCAGTAATTTTTAATCAAAAGTTTTGAAACAATTATGTAATTTGTAAAATTTAAATTTTTATTTCAAAAAAATTGAAATAATTTATAATTTATTCAGATCAAATGAAAACCTATGGTCAAGAAGAAAATGGTGCATGAGAACTCTATGGTCAAGAAGAAAACCTAGGTGAGAAAAGAACAGCGACGACGACTTGGTTGTTGCAAAGAGTGAGAGTTGAGAGAGGAGAGAATGACAACAACTTAGCAAATGGAAAGGCGAATTAGGCAACAACAAGAGAGGAGAAGTGAGAAGAAAGTGTCGACTGAGGGTTTAGGATTTTAGGGCTCACTGACTAGGGGTTAAGGAAGTATTTTCCTCATTTACCCCTAAGAAATTTTATCTATTCCATAAATGTATATAAGTATATAATATAAAATATATATATTTATAAATATATCGGACTTGGGTTTTTATCGAATCAGATGGAGGTGAGTCCAAGTTCAACCCGATCTTTAATCGGATTCTACTTTCGCCATTCAAATCCAATCTGATATGACATTCAAGGTTTTAAAAACCAACTCGAAGAACAAACCAGTCAGGGGTCCAGTTCCCAAGTCAAACGATCTGACCGTTCGAACCGAACGGTCATCCAGTCTTGACAAAAATACAAAAAATAAAAAAATAAAAAGGTCAAACCGTTCGAATGGTTAATCGCCTGGGTTAGTAGTTTGCTGGCCAAAATCAATGATTTTTGGCAAAAAAATTGGTTTTGGGGAAAAATGGAACCAGACACCTGACCGGTTCCCGGTTTTGAAAACCATGATTACATTTACCTCATCTGAATCCGAGATTATCGAATTGGATATCGGATCGGGTCGTAGGTTTACAGGTATCATTGATTGGCCTATTTACCCACCTAGTAGATGGGATACCTAGGAAAATAAACTTTCCCTAGTCCCCACATAAGTTTAAAAAAAGAATATGGATTTCTTGGTAAATGAAAATCAAAATCCCATTTACCAACTTTCCTCTCTCTCAAAATCCAAAAAAAGAATGCCCCCTTATAAGTGGTATAAATACATGGGGTTATCTGTCTACTTGGTTGATTGGTAAACCTATCTCAAAAGTACAGATGCATTGTTTTATAATATCAAAGTACCATCACCGGTAGCTAGGGGTGATGATTTATACGTAAACCAGAAAATTTTTGGAGGGTGTTTCTGGAAAACAAGATTCTACACCTTGATCCTGAGTATAATATTGTCAAAAAAAATCTGAATATCCATACTACTTTAAAAGGTATGAATAGTCTCAAGAATATTTCTGGAATTTTCTAGGAACAAAATTTATCCCTTCATATCTAAATTTATTGATAAAAAATGAGGACAAATAGGGTAATTGGTTACTAATATTAAATGAGTTGAAAATAGGTAATTTTAAGATAGTCAATGCATTCAATTATTTTTCATTAAATCTCAACATTTAAGGTATTAAGTTGCATTCATCTTCATTGAATCATATATTTAAGGCATTTTTGTTTATTCTCATAATTAAATTGTATTAATTAAATCTATATATAATAAATTAATAATTTCAATAACATAAAAACTTGTACTTTTAAAATCTACCTAGAAAAAATAGTGTTTTCATCTAGGTGGTGGTAAGAAATTAAACCATTTTGGGTCAAATGGGCCAATCCATGCTGACACAATTAAATAATAAAATTTAAAAATAGATAAAATGCAAAAAAATATAAATATTAAAAAGGGAACATTTTTAACATCATATATTCGGCATATTAAACACTAATAAGTATGACAATAAGAAATGTTTTTTATTAATGATGAAAATGGAATGTAAGATTTAAGACCAATTGGAAATAAAACTATTTTCCTATTTTCTCATTAAATCTCATATCTAAGGTATATTCTCTTATTAAATCCTATATTTAAGATATAGTTTTCTCACCATTAAATTCTATTAATTAAATCCACAACATTAACTTTAATAGTATAAATATAAATATTTTGAAAAGTAGTTTGAAAATAAAACCATTTTCTTTTCTCTCAGTGGTGGGTAAGCAATTTAACCATTTAGGGTCAAATTGGTTAATAAATAATGCCACAGTTGAATAATAAAAAATTAAAATAAATAAAATATATGATACAAAAAATAATTAATTATTTCAAACAAAAATTAAGTGTAATAAGTAAAAATTATTTATCTATCGTA